TGCCATCCACATGTCATAAGACAGAACAGGACTAAACGATCAACGATCTTAAAATCTTCTCGAGGGATTAGACTTATACCTTACGAAATTTAGACTGCAGTCCATCCAAAAATTTACATGATGAGAAGCAGCTGCGGTGTGTTATACCTGTATTTAACCATTCCACCAATCATTTTCAACAAAATTTCAAAAGGGCCGTGTTCATAGAGACTGCCGGTAGAGCTTAATACAAATGGCGCAAATTTTTAGCTTTATTTGTAACGCATAGTTTCGCTACGTTCAGAAGAAGCAAAGCTGGTTTTACTTCCACTTTAGCGATGCTCTGCGAACAGACCTGCCAGCATAGGTAAACAGAGATATCAACGTTTTTATAGTAATTGGTTTTTCAATCCGGAATCCACATCGCAGTCATCGCTGTTTTATGCACATGACAGTTCTTACAGTGGTCGAAGTCCTTCAGAATCGTTTAGCGCTTGCATTTCAACAGAAGCGTACGACGCTTGTATTTTGAGTGAATACTCTCTAAATTCAGATGCGCATTTCGAGTCCGTGAGGCAACAAGCCAGCAGTCAAGGTACGGTAGGTTTTACATTCTCAGACGGCACGGTACTTCTGAAGTTCAACCGTAAAACTTTTAACACGAACTAATGAGATTGTGGCAGCCAAGCGATAATGGATTGCCCTATGGCTTTACGGTAACTTTTCTGGCAAAAATGGATCCTGAATAACCACTTCGACAGTTAGCCTATAAACCAAAATATTTATTTGTTTCTGAATGAAAGTTGTGCCATTACTTACCTTTTGACCGTCGATGCCATTCGCTTATCTCTGATGCAGTAGTTCTAATTCTAAACTACAGAAAGGAAGCAAGAAGGTCGGCTGAAAGAAGGTTAATTAAATTCAATTCATTGATATTAACACGTTACTTGACCTGGGTGAGAGACGAGGGATCGCTTTGTGGAGCGAGGGAAGAATCATTGAAGAAGAGGTCTGAACCAGAGTTTCCGGCCTCGCCAAAGAAAGCTCTGTGCAAACCAAGCCTCCCATCAGTGGTGAAAGGCAGACAGACATTGTCTTGTTCACGAGCTCATGGAAAGATTGAATCGTAGCCAGATCCTCGTGTGTATGTCAGAAAAAAGACTGGCGTCGAGATTAGGAGGAAGTGATCCGTGATAGAAGGAAAGAATCGATCAGGAATTCTCAATCCACAAAACGAGAGCATTTTCCTAGTCTATTTATTTCCACTTATTGAAGATATGTTTCTCTATGCCGTGTGGAAATTGTTTAGTATAAAATCACAATGAAAATTTTCTAGGTTTCTCAGTCGCAAACCTTCAACTTCAAAGCAATCTTCATTGAATTAAAAAAGTCAGAGGCCAACAGAATAATCAGTGGTTAAGTGAGTGATAGCATCCTCGTTTCAACGGGATGACAAAGGAATGTACAAGATTGGACAGTGTCTAAACTAGGGATTTAACGTATCTTGACAATCAACTGCCGAAGGGTTTTATTTTAATTTTATTTCCTGATATGTTTAAAAACAACTTCATGCATATTCAGTCCGTCTAGCCCTCCAGTCATCGTTGTGTGTCCCAAGAGTAGACGACACGGAAGAATCCGACTCTGCGCCTCCTAGACAGAACTGCCAAAACACGCCGAACTCTGAAAACCTTGACTGCCAGATCCTCGTTCCCAAAAATTTCGAAGTTCATGAGTTCATGACCCTCACAGCTACCGTAGGACTACTATCAAATTTACTTCGCCATGTCATGTGATCACCCACCTTGATAGGAACGTCAAGGCTGCATTATGGAGAGCAGGACGAGCTTGACGGTATGCACTGGAAGCGGATCTGCTGTTGGCTTGCCACATGACCTTTACGCAGCAGGCAATTATACCGAGATAAATCTGAAGCATTGTATCATCTTGGTCAAGCATCGATATAGGAAGCTTTGTTGTACAGTTCTACATTGCTTTGGGTGTTAATTACAAAACAATTCTTCAGCATTTTCACTTTATGAAATGAGAATGGAACTAATAACTAATAACCATTATTAAATAAAACGTAATCCACTTTCTCTCAAGGATGTAGAGAATGGAAGATCCATTGTGACATTAAGCATATGAAAAATTTCATATTTCATAGTGTTCCATAGGATTTGTGATTATCTAACTTTCCTCTTCTTAACTTTTTAAGCTCTACAATAATCAGCTCAGCAGCAGGGTAACTTTTCTTGGAGGTCCCAACCCTCAAAGTTGAAAACAGTTTGCATAGCAAAATATGGTATTGTTATAATTATGGAAATGCTTATTTATCTGCACAGGTAGTTAATACAATTTGCTAGGGTGTGTGCAACATTCTCACATCCCTATACGTCTCTAACGGTTATGCCTCTCTCTTCATTAATCCTTACTTCCATTGCTTCTCATGTCGATGAAATGATTCTGTGAGCAACTAGCTCATAACGCCTTTCCAACTACTGAGATTTTCATTTAAGCAGTAGAGTCTTTAAGCGGAGTTCAGCTGGAGAATAGGTCTCATTATGTACGTGCTTCACCAAAATATTAAAAACATTGATAATCTAACTCACTTCATAGATGATGAATGAGAGAAATGGCCCGTGTAGCAGAAATCGCAAGTAACCTTATTAAGATGCAGATAACGTTGAGCCTCCGTCATGCACACCACTAACTGACTAGCGACTTGTGTAAAGTCATTTCTAATTTAACTCTGTTTACCATTCAAAAATCTGCTCCCTCAGAAACACATAATAAAGGAACTGCAGGACGAAATGCATTGAAAAGTACGTACAAATCCACCGTAGTGCAGGCATTCTGTAAGAAGCCCCAAACAGCCTAATCCTGGTGTCAAATTCAGAGAACGGACTGTTATCAGCGTTTATCAACTAAGTAAACAGTCCACTTCCTCCTGAGTTTTAAGTCAGTTCTGTGTATGAGAGAAGGACACCCCAACTACTAAACCACACTGAGAGAGTGAGGGGAAACTTTCGTGTTTGTCCTTCACCAAAAGGAGCGTAGTGAAAACTGTTTTACATCACGCTTATGTCCTTTAAACAAATAATAACGAGTAGCATATAAGTCAGAAGCACTGACAGATGCTTTGTTGATGAATACCTGGCAATGGAAGATGAACAGCGTCCGAATTGAGGACGACCGCTATCGCAAAAGGAAGCACGAAAGAGATCAGCGAGACTTAAGGGGCGAGTCCAACAGGAAAATCGGAGGATGCAAGGTAAATAATAACTGAGCATAGAAGGGCCGCTTGAACATGGAATGAGACAGACTGATAACTTTTCGAAGTGACATTTGCCACTGCAAAGAGGAACCGCTTTTGAAGGCCAATCATAATCATTGTGGCCATCGCACCGTGAAATATCACTATATGAGATTATGGTCGACAAAATTAGTAAATAGAAATCAATCGATTACTTAACACATTTACGTATGCCACAAGGCGATGAATGGTCGCGCTTCATCTTTGAAGTTGGCTTCAGTTCACGACTAAGAACGAAACGAAGAAGGTTGGACATGGTAGGTTTTCATAAGGTTGTCAGTTATTTTAGAGATGCCCC